CCTTCCTTCCTTCCTTCCTTCCTTCCTTCCTTCCTTCCTTCCTTCCTAACAAATTCTTTTCTTCCTTCCTTCCTGACAAACTCCTTCCTTCCTTCTTTCCTTCCTTCCTAACCAATTCCTTCCTTCCCATTTTTCCTTCCTTCCCTTCCTTCCACTTTTCTAACTCCTCCCTCCCTCCCTCCTAAGCAACTCCTTCCTTCCTTCGCCCCCCTTTCTCCACCCCCCTTCGCCAACAGGGCGCCCCCCTCCAGGTATATACCCTGACCCTAATCCCCAACCCCATCGGGCGGGCCAAGGCAAATCCAGGCTTGGAGAAGAGGAGGAGGAGGAGGAGGGCGGTGGCCTTCAACCCCCCTCCCATACACACCCCTTTCGCAAGAGTTGGGTTTCCCCTCCTCCAGCTGGAAAGCCCGGAAAGCCACTCTCTCTCCCCCCCCCGTCCCCCAAAGGTGAGAAACCCCAGGTAAGCCTCCCCTCCCCACGCCCGGGGAGGCGCTCTGCCCGCGCTCAGAGGCACTCTTTTCCCCAGGCAGCCCCTTCTCTTCTTCCAAGGGGGAGGGGGATCCCGCCCGGGAAAAGCCACCTCCCCTCCCACCTCCGCCCCCTATAGTCTCACCTGGCCCGGTGGTCCCCGGGGGGAACGGGTAGGGCGGCGCCGGCGGGATGGTCCCGTAGGTGTGGGGTGCATAGTTGCCCGGCGGCGGCCCGTAAGGGCTGTAAGGCGGCGGCCGGTCCTGCAGCAGCGGCTTGCCGTCCATGGCGGTGAGGGGTCGTCGGACCGGAGAGAAGCCTGGAGCGGGGATTCCTTTTTTGGGGGGGAGGGGGTGCTGGGGGAGGAGGAGGAGGGCGGGGGAAGGAGGCTCTCAGTCCCGGGCGGGCTTGCTGGGTCCCGGCTCGCTCGGCTCCTTCAAGGAGAAGGCAGCAGCAATTGCGCCCAGAGCCGGCGGGGCATGGGGCGGAGCGGGGGGGGGGAGAAGACGTGGGAGGGGGCAACCCGGGGGTCGCCCCGGAGGAAGCTCCGCGCGGAGAGTCCCCGCACCAGCAGCAGCAGCAGCAGCAACGCAAACCCTTCGTGCCTGCGGGCGGCGGCGGCGGCGACTCAGCCCGGTCACAAGACTGGCGGGTCACGTGACTCCGCCTGCGCCCCCCCCACCCCCTTTTTTCTCTTCTCCTCCTCCTCTTGCCCCGCCCCGCCCGCCGGTGAAGGAGGGGGGAGGGAAGGAGGCGGGGGGAAACCCTCTCTTAAAGGGGACGCGACATGAAATACGATTTGATTTGATTTGATTTTTTTTTAAATTGATTTGATTTTATTGTTATTTTATTATTTTATTTTTTTAATTTTATTTTTATTCTTATTTTTTATATTTATTTTATTTTTATTTTTTTTAATTTATTTTTATATTTTTTAATTTTTATTTTTATTTTTTTATACTTATATTTATATTTACTTTACTTTACTTTACTTTACTTTACTTTACTTTACTTTACTTTACTTTATTTTATTTTGACTGTGTTCTTCTCTGCCCAGTCACTCCCAGTCACTATTTTCCCCTTCCCAACAATCAGCTGTTCCTATGATCAGCTGTGCCAGGATTCCTCTGCAGTCTCTCTGCTTTGCCCAGGAGGTTTCCCTGGAGCCCAGGAAGCCAAAAAATGGAGGGAGGGGGCGCACAGCACCCCCACCCCCCTCCATGTTTTTCCTTCCTGGGTGCAGGGAAGCCTTCTGGGAACAAAAATGCCCCCCCCCC